GTTAATTTCACGGTAATCCTTTCATTACATTTTACGTTTGTAATTTGATTAGGTCGAAGGTTCTTAAAGACATGCCACGCGTGAAAGGCAGACCAGGCGCGAGTTTGACATCACTCGACTTAGATGCCTTGAGAAAAGAATTGAAAGAATCTCACTCACACGTTACCGAAAAGGACGTCATGTCGGCTGCGCTCTATCCTAAAGTAACGAAGGATTATTTGAACTTCAAGGAACAATTTGGTCCGGTAGATAAATTGGAAACTAGAATCTTTCTCACGGGGCCTAAAGTAGGCGAAGTATTCGATGTCACAATTGAGAAGGGCAAAACTCTTGGTATCAAAACCCTTGCAGTCGCAGAAGATCTTACGAAAAATGGCGAACGTGAGGTGTTTTTCGAAATGAACGGTCAACTGAGATCTGTGTTCATCAAAGATAAAGAGGCCGTCAAGGTAAATGACCCGCAAATTTTCGGCATTATTTTATATATTATCACGTGATTCAATTAAGTTATAATTAAAGTGAAATTAAAGTGTTAAATAACAATTAAACTGATTAAAATAAAATTACTTTATTACATGAAGATAATTAAAAGAAGATTACAATTAAATTGGGATTAATGAATATCTTAAACAAAGTACGATAAGAATTTTTCTATTCTTTGTGCAGGAATTGCATGTGCATCCAAAAGCAACGAAAGGTGACAGTAATCATCTGGGAGCGCCGATGCCCGGCGAAGTAATCGACATTAGAGTAAAAGTGGGCGACACTGTGGAAAAGGGTGCACCATTAATTGTGCTATCTGCTATGAAGATGGAAATGGTTGTGCAAGCACCTAAAGCGGGCAAAATTAAGAGCCTTGAAATCAGCTTGGGCATGAGATTAGAAGGAGACGATCTCGTCCTAACATTCGAATAAATTCTCTCGCGCTGATGGGATTGACCTAAAAATCAAATCGTGTAAAAGCAACACCAAATATTTATTGCTATTTACTATGATAATGCGTGTGTGAAAGACAAGATCTTTAGCAAGCTTTTATACGAAGCTTGGATTGAAATTTTTTATTTAACATTCTATTATCGATGATCATCGGTTCAGAATCGTCGATGATTAGGATTTATTATCCAAAAATTATTATCACATACTGATAAACATTTTAAAATTGTTACGTTTATGTTTATTATTATATTTTTTTTAATAATTCTATTTCTTAAATGATACATGTAAGATCACATCTTGACGGAAATTTAAAAACATCCAACTATATATTAAACAAACACAATTATTAATAATTAGCTTAAACATGAAATTTAATATTGAATTAATTATTTCTCCAAAATAGTCTATTTTTGGTTATATTTTCATTTCAGAGTATTAATAAAAATGTTTTAAATATCCTACATATGTTATTTGAAAATGATACATGGGTGATCCGAAATTCACAAATTCGGAGTACAGAACATAATATAATTATGCTGAAACAACTTTTTCTTGTAGTAAAATTATATTTGATAAATAATTTTTGCGTTTACTCGTATAACTTCAACCTGCTCTCCAGCAAAAACTACTTGTAAAGCCTGCGACACATGATGCTTGTTTTCCGTATTGACTGCGATGCTGGTACTACGCAGCCAATACGATGGCAAGATTCTATATAATCCAGCAGGAAAACAAGCATCATGTGCCGAAGACTTTAGACGCAATTTTATTAAAAAAAAAAGTTGTTTTTTTTATAAAGTATCATGTCTTGTACTCCAAATTCACTGAATTTCACTCTGTATGTAAAGCCAATATGATTAATATGATACAATTAAACAAAGCTGCCTAAAAGATCCATTAATTTGTACTTTATATATATATATATATATATA